TTGGAAATCTACTTATTTTGAATTTATAAGAAGTGAAATAATTGTATATTAAATTCATGACATTACATGAGCGTTATTTCGAGATATCCATGTTTACTCGAGATACCAAATCTAGTTAGTCAACATCCCATCGTGTGATACAGACGATGTACTCACACTGTATTAAGTTCAGAGGTCATATCACTGACTTTCTTGTAAAATATGAAGGTGCATGCTTATTTCCGACCTCCTGCTTCTGACGTTTTTCCTCATCTACAAGACATCAACTTTTGTGAATTCACATTGTTTGTTATTTTTCTTCCAACCGGAATCAGAACCTCATTGTCTTTAGCTCTGTATAAAAAAAACACACACAACAGAAAGGCCGATAAGCAGTCATACTAGAATTTGCAAGTTAAACTTATTGCTCTCTTGAGAAATACTTTACGGATTTCTCTATGACAAATATATGCGATATTCTCAATCCTTTGATTTACAAAAACTGTGTGTACTGCTTGGAATAAGGAAATAGCGCAGTAGGTGCTATAATTAATGATTTACAGCTGTAATTTATTAACGCTATTTCTTTGGCAAAACTAGATGGATCATTTACTAACTTCATGTGGTATAGGTTCTTCTTTGTCCTAATTCATGTGTTGTCACTTTTTTCGTTTTTTGACTTTTTTGTTTGTTTTTACATTGTCCATCATGGGCTCATGGGCTGTCCACAATATGCAGCCATCTTGAATTTTGCAGTGATCAATTTCAATTGTTAATCTTCAGACCTTATGGATGGATAACTTTAAAGCTTTATATGTTGATTCTCTTAGACTCTATTTATGCATTAAGGGATTGATATGAATAGGCCATCTTTGAATTTAACAATTGTAAAATTGTTTACCGCTGTGTCTTGAAGAAGTCTGGATTAATCACTCTCAGATTTGACATGTCAGTTCCTCTTTGTACGTATCTGTACATCTTTGCTTGTTTGAGGAACGGAAAAGATATAAATAAAAGGGGGAAAATACCCCTCTGTTAAGGAACCGATAAAGATGTGGGACACCAACATCCTTCCAGTCAATGTTTGTTGTTGTATATCTGCCCCAACGTTAAAGATTGATGCTTTTGTATTCTAATCGAGATAAATCAAATCTCTGACCTCGTACATACGGCTTTCAGTTTGTGTGATGGAATCAACTTTATTTGTTTTTGGCATTGTAAATGATCACAGACCTCAACAGAGGGTGAAAAACTGCAAAATACAGAATAATACAATGTGTCAAAAATTTAGGAGTAAATATAAAATTTGCAGCTTGGAATTTAACATTTTATACTAATCACACTAATCACATCTATTAACTTGGAGTGGTTTCATATACATGCATTTAAATATACTATGTAACCCCGTTACCGTAATCGGGGGGCAAATAAATTTAGCATCTATGTCAAACTAATCTAAATTGTTAAACTAAATCCATTATTTGGAATTACACTTTGTTGAAAGAAACGAAATTATGATTAATTTTTCCAAGCATGTTATAAACAATAAATGAGCAGTGTATGACGGACATACCGAATGGATTTGACCTGAAGATCTATTTTTAAATCTAGGTATCAATTATCACATTACAGTGTATTACTAATAAATTGAATTAAACTGGAATCAAATATTTGAGTATAAACTGATATCTGATAGGAATGATACAATAAACTTACACGATAGTTGCCTTAAGATGTTTTGATTATCATGAAGCATGCACGGTGCAACTATTTAACAAAAGAGTGGTAAAAAGGGAGATAACACTTAATACAAACTGAAAGGGAAGGTAGCAAGACAGCACAGTTTGAATTTCATTTAAAATTTTAAACTATGCCAGGGAATTGGCGAAACGAGAAGATGCTGCGTTGGATTTACTTTCTGATTCGGTTAACTCCATCGTTCGTAAAATGATTTGCAGCTTGAAATCGAAAATGAAAACAAAACACAGGTCAGCTGTCCTCGATCCTGATGTTAAATCCACACTTCAAGATTAACATGACAGATATGTTATTATGTCTGCAGATAAGGCGTCCAATAACTTGATCCTTGTCTGCAAATATTATTTCAGCCCTGTATACAAAAAAATGGACTTGCTTGATAACAATTTAGGATTTATATAAGAGGTCGCTCTGACCGTCTGATTTTGGATTTATATAAAACAACCACTTTGTAGCCCTTGGCATTTCCTTGCCTTTGGTCTTGCCGAAACATACCGTACCAAGACGGGGTCGATAAAATGGTTGTTTCTATTTTGTTCTTGGCCATGGCATGCTGGGATTTCTTTGGCAGTATAGTTCTATGTAGTAATGCACCTCCATACTATAACAACAATTTTATATTCGCTGTTTCTTACATATTGCAGCGTCCCAAATTCGCTTGATATGCACTACAAAAGCTTCCGTGAGGATTTCAACATGCCACCGTTTCAATATCCATATGGAGAATTCCGACCTTGCCATATCACCCAGTATTTTCTTGTGTTTTATGTCTGGATTCGACTTAGTGTTATATTGGTAAAGGGGTATATATGACATATGTCCATATTATAACTAAAGGTAATCTTATATTTATAAGTATATAACATACAAATCGTAGATCTGTCAATCTGAGAAAGGTGCGACTTGGGGAATACAACTTTTCGAAGGTTGACAAAAGGTTGACAAATCCTGGAATAAATCTGAAAAAATCCACAGCTATTTAAGACGTCATTTAAGATGTCCATATTACAAAAAAAATTTTTTTGATGATTATAAATAAGTTTATTTTTAGTCTTGGTCATCGGTATCCCATTATAACATCTCGTGCAGATTTATGATATACTTTAGTTGGCTATGGTTTCATTCTATACTTGTGTGTGATTGCACTTTAGCATTGACGGCCTCGGCTCTACTTGATCACAAAGAAGCTGTCAGCACAGGTAACCACCACAAAAACATAGAGCTGCAGTTTTTGAATGACGATCAAACAAACACACCAATCGGATATTTAAAGGTTTTTTAATCTTATTTCTACAGACACGTCATCACTAAGAAAGCCATCCAACGTAGTCATATTTCATTACAAGGGACTAGCATTCTGTATTGTTTATATCAAGTGCAGAACAGCAATTTTATAAGACATAAATCTAATTCTGTAAATATTTGCAGCTTTGATTGACCTGGCAATATCTCTGTCCAAGTTAATCACTTCAGTGTGACTGCACTATAAAACATGGACTTTTTCAAGGACAAGAAACCATATGACATTGCAGTTATGAAAATGCGTTTACAATCGTGTTTCATTGTACCTTCAAACGTAAATTAGAATATCGTAAAAGGGTTTATTGACATTTCACATTGGTAACTTGAAAATCTCTACCAACAGGATCTTTATTCATCACATGTTGTCTCTCGCATAAACATAAAACATAATGGTGTCGGTAATGCATGAATGATTTTAAACATATTGAATAGTATTTCTTTCATTTCCAAGGTTGTCTCGTTGATTTTTTTAACTTGTGATTTTAATATTATCATATTATATCTGCCCTATGCCTACTGCAATGTTTTCAAATTTCGTACTTTTTGAAGTTAGTATTTTATTTAATAAAGTTATTTTAGACAGAAAAATGTTATGTAAAGATAGAAACATCAAATGTCATACGATATAAATATATAACAATATAACACGTGTGTTTAGTTCATGCTGCACACGTCCAATGTAATCGTGTAGTATTACCCTCTGGAGTGACTGACAGAGAAGTATTCGTCCGTGGCTGGTTGGGTGACAGATTCACTGACCATGATGGGAGTCACAGACCTCGGAGTCGGCCCCTCCCAGGTCACACGGAGAACATCTAGTTGTCTCACCACTCAGGTAACAGAATCCAGGATGAGTCACTCTTCACTCCCGTCACATATCTTTTACAGACGCACTGTCTAGAATCTTCATCACTGCCGTAGTTGCCAATGGCCCTAAGGTGTTACATATACGGGTATCACAAATAGCATTCTGAAAATGACCTTCACTGTAACCTGCGTGCCACGTTATAATTGTTTGAATACATAAGCTTAGCGGTACGGTTAGGAATATACACGTGTGATTAGCGCTGTTCTTAAATAATTTAATACATGAACATTGCAAAATTCATATACTGACGGACTATTGCCAGATTTTGACTTTTACTTCAATCAGTTTGTAGTTTCCTCAGTCGCCTCCTAGGCTTCAAATTATAGGTTCTCAACATCACTGACGAGTCGTAGAAAGATAAAACGGCAATATGATGCAGTTTAATTCATTGTTTGGTTCTACCGTACCTAAATATGAATTGTTAAATGATGTTACCACTTGCGTGTTCTTTGTATGATCTTGATGTAAATGAAATTTTATCAGTGACTTTGTACAGTTCATATAAAACTAGATACGAATTTATCTAACAGATGTATTAAACAGTGCAGATGTATTTTGATGTATTGCCTAATCATTTCCAGATGTACTCCACAATATCCGTTTACATTCACGCGGTAGTTTCCATCGTCAGTACTCCGCATTCATTGTTTACAGTAGCACAGACTCGCTGATATACTGAGTACAGGCACAGATCGGCTTAGTGTTAACCCGTATTATGTGACTTCTCACATAGGCTGTGTTTCTCTATTCTCTCCCACATTTAACACGACGTTTAAATACCACAACCTGACACACAAAGCCACCGGGTAGGTAGGGCATGTCGCATCAGTGTTATACATACCCCAGTGGGGTATTTACCAGACCTCAAGGCGATTTTGAAACAACCCAACTTTTTTGATATTTACAAAACAGGTATATATAGGTATATGCGCGGACAGTGAAAGCTGTTTTATACCCATAAGACTTAACACTGAACAGTTCCGGCTACATACTGGCGTTAGGATTGATGTATATTTACAAAACGGGTAGATTCATACCCACGTGACTCCACACTGGACAGTTCTGGGCTAAATACTAGTATAAGGATTTAAGGATGGGAGGTAGGCAATCCTTCCCTGTGGTTCCCTTCCCACGGGAGCGTGTGGTCATCATTACAGGAGGAAACAAAGGTAAGTCTTCCTGAATTATTTTATACAATGAATGAAACATAAAATTTCTAACGTATTTGATATGAACTCCAGCTTCCCTCTCGTCTTTCTCAAGTCACTTCTTACGTTTCAGTATCGTATTCTATATTTGTATTTAATGCATTTGTTCGCTTATGTCTTTTGTATAATCTTTGTATCCAAAATAGTTCAGTGTTTAGTGCTGTAAAGTAACACTTAAGTTGTAACACATTAGTCCCTCTTATCTCTCTTATTCCATCCTCCATATTGGTTTGTGATTCTAAGAACGTTGAGAAATGTACCAGGTTGTGCTTACGTTTTGTCTTGGGACGAGACACTTATTGCTCTGAATTGCATGCGACGTGCCTCCAGTTTGTTGTTCAGTGACGTAACCACATTTCTGAATGATCCCGGCTCTTCACGGGGCCATGCACTCAACTATACATACAAACAAGCCATCTATCTAATAGGATGAATCTCGTTATCACGAAATATTTTAACTCTCCGTATAATTAGAAATATTTCGTTGGTCCGGACAAAACTTCACAAAAAGCATTCTAACTCACTTAAAGCGGCTATTACCTTATATTTCAACATCGGGGAACTGAGAATTCGGCTTATGAATAATAAAATATTTCAATAATAAAGCGATATATGCGCCTATAACGTCAAATTTGTTGTTGTTTAACATATTTTCGGCGTCGGAACTTTGTTTATCTTGACTATTGTTTATAAACATGTTCACGCTCGGTTTACGAAGAAAACCGAGTGGGTCACATGGCTTGTCACATGACGAAGTCATTTATTTCCGCCACAAAGTAAAAAAGGATTATGAGGTAAACAAACGCACATGTCTTATGTATGATACTTGCTTTTGCGCCTTTCTGCTAATTCTTGTTTGCAGTAAACGATTCTATAGTGTTATAATATATAATTATTAACAATCAATCTTAGTAATTCGTTTTGTTTTGGCTTTGTTCTGCGAGAGTTATATATGTCAATCCGCAGGCACTAAACTAGTGGGGCCCCAAAGGGGGTTATTACAATCGGAAAAGAAAAAAAACTTATTGTGCAGAAATGCACAGGAATTGATACTTTGTCTGTACACATTAATAGATATTGCATTGTTTATTATGAAGGCTATGTTTATCATCACGGTTGTTATTCTTACAGTAACACCAGTACCGTCATATTTTTACACTTAGAACGAATACCCCCAATTGGGCCCCACCTTGCAGTCAACAACAAACACATGTTGTTGATAGTAAATTCAAGCGAATAATACAACTATTTTCATTCAACATTTATCAGATAACACTTTTAACATTCACGCGTCAAACACTGGATATTGGATTATAATCAATGACAGGCGGATACATTATAATTATAGGGCTGACGTTAAGCTAACCAGTCAAGCACCAGCTTCGCAAATTCCGAATCCGTATTCAGTCCAAGATCCTCCTTCATCTTTCGCCATCTATCGATCTTCTGTCTAATATAAATTCTTGCTTGTCCTCTTTTCTGGTCTGACTCCTTCCTCTTACGCTTTCTAGGCCTTTTTTGGGATGACCACAGTTTGATTTTGGGTAGGTTTGTTTGGAATATGATCTAAGTTTTTTTACGTAAGGTAAGTGCAGTATGGGTTCGGAAGACCGCGGTAGGTGCGTGTTCAATTTCCCGTGAATGAGTAGCACTCGAAATATACTGTAGACGTAATTAATAACGTTTAAAGCAAAATCGAAATATCGTAATATCGAAAGGTAGTAAGTCTAGTGTTTGACGAAAAATATTTTTTTTAATTTTTTCCGTATGGTTAGTGTACAACAACAACTGGATTAGATATAAAACTAGAAGAAATTTGTGTCCACCTTCCCTGTGACACGCACATGTAACATAAAACGATGATTCATTCCTAACCTGTCGTATTGTATCCGATAACATAGCCTGATAACATACTTATATTCACGCTTCATGAGTTCGTTAGAACGTGCCATACACAAGGGCATATGATGTTTTAATATATAATTATTCATATCCTTTTTATGAAATCATGACATTGATGTGAAACTTGTTCGTAGCTTCCGCATTATCTGTACAATGAAAATGCCTTTTAAAATCAGTTTATTCTCTCTCGTAGATATCTACAAAGACATAAAACATCCGAGCTATTCACTTACACAGTAACATTTTATGTCATTCATAGAATACAAAAAACGAAATCAGATTAGAATATAAATTGTTTGTAACAAACTGTAACTTTTTCAAATCGGTGTTCAGAGAAATTATATTTATAACCCAAACTTCCGGTTTTGGTGTTTTGTTGAGTCATATAAAAATGTTTTCATAAAACTTCCCGAAATGTATCGGTTGTTTTCTGGTATTCTAGTTTCATTACCTTGAAACCGAAGCCTTAGATCTCTAGATAATAATTTGACGGCTGACCACACCTGCACAGGTGTTAAAGAACAATGCAGTCTTCCATTTTTTTCTTGATATCTTAAATTTCATTCACGAACAAGAAAGATGACTTTCTAGTCTCGTTAATATATCTAACAAACAATGTCATCGCCAGGTGTCGAGCACGTTGTTTAACTTATTTTATCACTCTGGGATTTTACATTAGGAGCTAATTTCATGAAAGTAGCCGCAATATAGCACTCGGCTAGAGAGAACTTCTCAGTAGCTCGATTGGTTGAGCGTCGGGTTAGTACTGTTACAGTTGGTTCCGTTGTCGTGACATTACTTCTTTGACTTAACTAAAATATTCATAACGAGTGTCGTCAATAAATCAGAAGACGCTAACTCTTCCAGAACACCTGGATTTCATCTCCATATACTTTGACCCCTCTCTAATCACAATACTAATGGTCGAGTTGGCGATTTCATCAGCTGAAGTCATTTCGACACAATTGTAAATCAGTCTTATCAAAATTAAAAAATTTTCCTTCCATTATCCTCCGCATAAGAGTGAAGAAAATGATAAGCATTTTAATCAGAGTTTAGATATGGTCGAGCCTAGTTCAGTTTGTGTAAAAAGCAAATGTGATACATAACAACAACAAAAAAAAAAAAATCCGACAAATCTTATTGTAAAAAGCTAATGCAAATTATAAACAAAAGAGTAATTTACAAGGAGAGTCTTTCAAAAGTACATGCGGAGTAAAACCAGGTGTTCTGGAGGGTAATCACCTACCACGCCAACCGACAAGCCTTGATCTAACGATATATATATAGTGAAGTGATAAATCAGATGGGAGGTATTACTGCTGAAGGCAGATTCATTAGCGAACGTCGGGAAGGCGATATAGAAATGCTTTCCGGTATGTAACACACTTGTCCTTGTCTGCGCTTATTCCGTCAGCAGTTTTGATCAAAGGACATACACTAGTCGTGGAACTTTATGTGTTTTGAATTTTCAGTTTTCTAGGATGAAATCAATTCATTCCTGAACAGATTTTAAACAAGTTTTACTAACACACTTTGCTACAAGATAGAACCGAAATAAAAACAAATTCATAAATGAACTACTGAGACAAATCGGTTGTTGAATAACGAGACAGATATTAAGTAACAAGGTTTAACCTCCATGCTCAAATGTTAACCTATTGATAAACTACACATTAGACATACTCCGATTGGTAATGTTATGTAATTGATGTCGTAGTTTTGAATCCGTAACATCTATCACAAAGGACACAATTATCACTTACCTAGACTCAGTGCAAGTCTTAGCAATTACTTTTGTTTCTTCGTTTTTTTTTTTTTTTTTTTTTTTATTTTTTATTTTTTTTGTATTTCTCCCGTTTTCAAAAGGAATATTATAATTTGCATTAAATGAGAATGAATTTGACTACAGTAAGTTCAGATGTTTAATTTTCTACACCCGGTATGATGACTTCATATACAATTTAACTCGAACGGTACTAAATAGTCCCTCTCTAAGGATTACTTTAGCTGAAATAAGTAAGAGAACGGCTTTTCTAAGTCAGAAATAAACGGACGAAATACCAGTTTGTCCTATAGACCGCTAGCATCTGTGGATGCACAAACTATGAATAAACTGTATATGCCATATTCATAAAATATCTACATAATTGGTTTACAAACGGTAATTACCATTTAATGATACAATGACACTTACGCACACGTAAACCTAGTGCTTGAAACTATGCGATCTCGGCGGCGTAAAGTTCAAAGATCAAAGGTCAAAATGACAACACTGCTGTGAAAAGGAAAAATTAATGTACCAGAAAACTGAGTTCATTCAGAAGTAAAATTACAAATATCAGCTGTTAAGTTTTCGCCATGAATGATCTTTATTTAGACCCCGAAGTTTCATCATCTATATGTGTTATCATAAGAGCGAATTCAATGTATTTGAATCAGGTCCGATCTCTCGAGAGGTTTAAAATCCAACCGTCCCGTCCATACAAAGTCTTCTCTATTTCGTTTTAGTATCCCAAGTAGAACTATGCTAAAACATCCGATCTTATTCTCCTTGTACTTTGCCAATCTTTCTTTTGTTCCTGATGTGTCCTAGTTTATTGAATTGGACTTTGAATTATGATTATGATGTCATGTTGGTATTTTCATGTTCTTTTTTCCTGGAAATCTTGTGTGCCGAAAGGTGCAACTGATTTATAAAGATCTTTTGTCCGTCGTCCGTTATGTTGTACGTCGTTCGTCCGTAAACAATTAAAAAATACGACTTCTTATAAACCCCTGAACTAATTTTAAGGAACTATTACAGAAATCTTTAATGGACAAGGATGAAGCAAACCCGTAAATTATATGGTCCTCATTCCACAAAGACCAAAGTTTCTGGGTCAATGGACGCCAATTTCAAGCGTTCATAAGATCCCGATGTGGTAAAATCAAATACCTTTCAATAATGAAAGAATTTTAAGTTACTTTACTATAATTTTTTAATGACCCCAGAGTCTCAGATTTCCCCCTGGGGAGGGGACACATGTTTTGTTAGTTCATGTATAAAAACACATTTTTGAGCATATCTCAACTTCCATGGAAATAATTCAAAAGTGGTAAGAATCTTTAGTATGGAATGACAATTTAATGATATGCATACATGAACGCTAGCTGACCACCGGGGAAAGATTGGCCTTGGTGAAAGGTCATGAGGTCAATGATTTGAAAACGTCGATAAAAATGAAGAATTAGCCGTATTATACTTTACATGCTGTGAAGGTGAGATATTCTGTCTCCTTTACGTGGAAGAATTGATAATGTTCGTACAATTGATCATGACATCTAGCCTCATATCTATCTATATAAAGACAAAGGAAATACTTCTAAAATTTATTTTCACGAAGTCGTATCTAAGGCGACCATCACTCTCCCCTTTTCTTGTATTTTGCAGGTATCGGCTACCAGACGGCAAAGTGGATCGCTATGATGGGGGCAACTGTCATTCTCGCTTGTCGTTCCGAGAACAAAGCTTTTCAGGTCTGTAAGTGTTTGGATACAAGAACGAATTCCCTTAAACATTACTTTCTCTCATTTGAAGTTTTGTATACTTATTATAATGAGATTAATACAAGGTACACCAGCAGCTAAAAACAAGAGAAGCATATAAACATTATACCGTATGAACAAAGATTTACACGGAGACATCAGCAAAAATTCATGGAAAATAAGACCAGGTGTTATGGAAGAGTGAGCGACTACCGCTTTATCGACAACACCCGCCATGTAAACCTTGGTCAAGCCAAATAAGTAATGTCACGTTCTCAAATATGGAACAAGGTATATAACAACAGAACCAACAGAAACACTACGTAAACCTTGGTCAATCCAAGTAAGTAATGTCACGTTCTCAAATATGGAACAAGGTATACAGCAACGGAACCAACAGGCAAATCATGTAAACCTTGGTCAATCAAAGTAAGTAATGTCACGTTCTCAAATATGAAACAAGGTATATAACAACAGAACCAACAGAAACACTACGTAAACCTTGGTCAAGCCAAATAAGTAATGTCACGTTCTCAAATATGGAACAAGGTATATAACAACAGAACCAACAGAAACACTACGTAAACCTTGGTCAATCCAAGTAAGTAATGTCACGTTCTCAAATATGGAACAAGGTATACAGCAACGGAACCAACAGGCAAATCATATAAACCTTGGTCAATCAAAGTAAGTAATGTCACTTTCTCAAATATGAAACAAGGTATATAACAACAGAACCAACAGAAACACTACGTAAACCTTGGTCAATCCAAGTAAGTAATGTCACGTTCTCAAATATGGAACAAGGTATACAGCAACGGAACCAACCGGCAAATCATGTAAACCTTGGTCAATCAAAGCAAGTAATGTCACGTTCTCAAATATGAAACAAGTTATAAAACAACATAATCATTACCCAAACGTTGAATGGTAATAGCAAGATTGCATCATTCGTACACAAAGCGTGCTGTTTATTTCAAATTATTTTTTCAAAGTTATTATTTGCTAAGTTTGTGGAGCATACACTGCTCACGAAATCTAGATTTGTCTAGATTGAATAAAGATAAGAAATGACATTAAGGATATACCGCTGAAGGCCTCTTTCATGACAATAGTTGTGTTATGTTTTACTTGCGTTTTAGGCTATCGAGGATATGAATCGGGAGTTTCTGGAAGAAAAACAGAAAGGGACGCTTGGTTTAGCCCAGTATGACGAGCTGAGTGTTGAGTTCATGAAGCTTGATTGCGCTTCCCTCAAATCTGTACGAGAATTTATCGACGAATTCAAAGCGACTGGCAGAAAGCTCCATGTGCTTATTTGCAATGCAGGGATCAACACCGTTGAAAAGAGTAGGTTTGGTCATTTCTGGGGAACACACTAGGCATGGGTGTTAATGACTCACTGCATCCACAATCAGTGAAAGAGGTCATGTCCGAAACTACTGCTATTTATCATCTGTCGTTAGTTCCCTTGACACGTGTTTATTAAAGGCTGCATACACTTCATAACACAGTTATCGGTCCTTCAAATGGGGCCATGTGACATCAGAATCGGAGCAGCGAATGTTACAACTTCATCAATATATCACTGCCGATTATATTACACTAGTTTATATACACATTTTCGGGGTAATGCTTTCAGTTCTGTCACGGGGCCACAGTAACTCGATTTGTTAGAGCGCTAGCCGTTGTGAGTTCAGGTGAAGATCCGAGGTACATGGTTCGAAACTCCTTACCCGTGGTGGTTTATGTTTCTTGGTGAAGATCCGAGGTACATGGTTCGACTCTCCTTACCCGTGCTGGTTTATGTTCCTTGGTGAAGATCCGAGGTACATGGTTCGAAACTCCTTACCCGTGGTGGTTTATGTTTCTTGGTGAAGATCCGAGGTACATGGTTCGAAACTCCTTACCCGTGGTGGTTTATGTTTCTTGGTGAAGATCCGAGGTACATGGTTCGAAACTCCTTACCCGTGGTGGTTTATGTTTCTTGGTGAAGATCCGAGGTACATGGTTCGAAACTCCTTACCCGTGGTGGTTTATGTTTCTTGGTGAAGATCCGAGGTACATGGTTCGAAACTTCTTACCCGTGGTGGTTTATGTTTTTTGGTGAAGATCCGAGGTACATGGTTCGAAACTCCTTACCCGTGGTGGTTTATGTTTCTTGGTGAAGATCCGAGGTACATGGTTCGAAACTCCTTACCCATGAAACTCCTTACCCGTGGTGGTTTATATTTCTTGGTGAAGATCCGAGGTACATGGTTCGAAACTCCTTACCCATGGTGGTTTATGTTTCTTGGTGAAGATCCGAGGTACATGGTTGGTTTATGTTTCGAAACTCCTTACCCGTGGTGGTTTATGTTTCTTGGTGAAGATCCGAGGTACATGGTTCGAAACTCCTTACCCGTGGTGGTTTATGTTTCTTGGTGAAGATCCGAGGTACATGGTTCGAAACTCCTTACCCGTGGTGGTTTATGTTTCTTGGTGAAGATCCGAGGTACATGGTTCGAAACTCCTTACCCGTGGTGGTTTATGTTTCTTGGTGAAGATCCGAGGTACATGGTTCGAAACTCCTTACCCGTGGTGGTTTATGTTTCTTGGTGAAGATCCGAGGTACATGGTTCGAAACTCCTTACCCGTGGTGGTTTATGTTTCTTGGTGAAGATCCGAGGTACATGGTTCGAAACTCCTTACCCGTGGTGGTTTATGTTTCTTGGTGTAAATCCGAGGTACATGGTTCGAAACTCCTTACCCGTGGTGGTTTATGTTTCTTGGTGAAGATCCGAGGTACATGGTTCGAAACTCCTTACCCGTGGTGGTTTATGTTTCTTGGTGTAAATCCGAGGTACATGGTTCGAAACTCCTTACCCGTGGTGGTTTATGTTTCTTGGTGAAGATCCGAGGTACATGGTTCGAAACTCCTTACCCGTGGTGGTTTATGTTTCTTGGTGTAAATCCGAGGTACATGGTTCGAAACTCCTTACCTGTGTTGGTTTATGTTTCTTGGTGAAGATCCGAGGTACATGGTTCGAAACTCCTTACCCGTGGTGGTTTATGTTTCTTGGTGAAGATCCGAGGTACATGGTTCGAAACTCCTTACCCGTGGTGGTTTATGTTTCTTGGTGAAGATCCGAGGTACATGGTTCGACTCTCCTTACAAAACAAACAATCTAAAACTCTGACACAATACGTTTGCAACCAAGTTCAGAAACAGCTTCGTAGGGCCATTTCCCCTTTGAACTTCATTCTTAAAATCTTAAATATCCTTTATGTTTCTTTTAGGTAGCAACGCCTTCTTAAAAGTATTATTTTTTCTTTGAATTGCGCATGATCTTTAGTGATTCTTGGAACTTTTTAAAACGGTATTTGATAGTAAAATTCCCTTCATCTTGATCAACAATATAGCGCCGACACGACGTTGGCCATTTTTTTTCCATGTGTCGCTTCGAAAATCTCGTATTGCGCAAGGCAAGTGACCCTCCAAATTTTCTTTAATGATTGTAATCATAAAATATAATGAATGGTAGCATTGAAGAACATGTGAATAGTACCTTTATTTAATTCGTAAAAGTATTGACAGATGATTAATTTAATTACACAATACAGCTGTCTTCTCTGTCCGTGACTCGTCAGTGATACTTCAAGCCATACCTGTAGGACATCGGCGTCTGGACATTGATATTTAAGAACGCCTTAGAAGCTGTTTTTTATATTTTTAAAATGAAATTTATTTCATTCTGTATATTTGAAATAAACAAATAAGATGTTATCATTGAAACAAAGATAAAATATCAATGTAACTTCATGGTTGTCATACACTTTCAACGTCCTTACTTACAAATTATTCATATTTATGCTTAGGGTAATATATTTCCAGCTTTGAAGTAAGTAATTATCCCATACTTGGAAATGTTGGAAATACATTGTATTGTCTAATCGTATTCGTTATTACAGGTAAATATCATCGTTGAGATACACGTGATCATTTACATATATGCTCTCCGTTTTCATTTTCCCTAAGTATGTATACTTACTTTTAACATCATCAACACAAACATGAGACAAATCTGTATTTTTCTATCATAAAGAGAGCACTGTTGGTTTTGTCTTAACATTATCGTTGTTTTGTTGTACTCTGTTTCAGCTTTAACGGAAGACGGCAACGAACTGCTTTTTCAGGTACTCGTCTTTGAATCTCTTTACCTACATGTATTACAAAAAACGAACCAATGTTATGTGTACTTTGGGGAGAAAGTAAAATACAAAAGTTGTTAGCTACCAGAAAGGATCTTCATACGTGTAGCTGGTCCGACAGGTGAAATTCGAACACTTCACAAACATTTTAATGTACATGTACTTAATGGAGTCTTAACACGTTGTAATAAGTTTAATACACTTCACATACAAGATTAAATTTACATCAAAGTGGAAGTCTATGTTTATTGTTAAGGTATATATTTAATGTTGTCTGGCATGTTGACATGTCACTATTTTCTTTGATTTGTTTCAAAAATGCTCCCAACGACACTTCCCACGGAGCGAGGTATCTAAATAAACATGGGCGACCAATTTCGATAACACAACGAAAACTTCGTCAACTTCATGAGACAAATGTGAATGTCAATGTGTCGGTTCTTGTTATTAGATATGAAATAAGTTAGGTAAACTACTTGATGTTTCAACGTTAGGTAAACTATTTGATGTTTCAACGTTAGGTAAACTACTTGATGTTTCAACGTTAGGTAAACTACTTGATGTTTCAACGTTAGGTAAACTATTTGATGTTTCAACGTTAGGTAAACTATTTGATGTCTCATCGTTAGGTAAACTACTTGATGTCTCATTGTTAGGTAAACTATTTGATGTTTCAACGTTAGGTAAACTACTTGATGTCTCATCGTTAGGTAAACTATTTGATGTTTCATCGTTAGGTAAACTACTTGATGTTTCATCGTTAGGTAAACTATTTGATGTCTCATCGTTAGGTAAACTACTTGATGTTTCAACGTTAGGTAAACTACTTGATGTCTCATTGTTAGGTAAACTACTTGATGTCTCATTGTTAGGTAAACTACTTGATGTCTCATCGTTAGGTAAACTACTTGATGTTTCATTAGGTAAACTACTTGATGTTTCATCGTTAGGTAAACTATTTGATGTTTCAACGTTAGGTAAACTATTTGATGTTTCATTGTTAGGTAAACTACTTGATGTTTCAACGTTAGGTAAACTACTTGATGTTTCAACGTTAGGTAAACTATTTGATGTTTCATCGTTAGGTAAACTACTTGATGTCTCATTGTTAGGTAAACTATTTGATGTTTCAACGTTAGGTAAACTACTTGATGTCTCATCGTTAGGTAAACTACTTGATGTCTCATTGTTAGGTAAACTACTTGATGTCTCATTGTTAGGTAAACTACTTGATGTTTCATCGTCAGGTAAACTACTTGATGTTTCAACGTTAGGTAAACTACTTGATGTCTCATCGTTAGGTAAACTACTTGATGTCTCATCGTTAGGTAAACTACTTGATGTCTCATCGTTAGGTAAACTACTTGATGTCTCATTGTTAGGTAAACTACTTGATGTTTCATCGTCAGGTAAACTACTTGATGTTTCAACGTTAGGTAAACTACTTGATGTTTCAACGTTAGGTAAACTACTTGATGTCTCATCGTTAGGTAAACTACTTGATGTCTCATCGTTAGGTAAACTACTTGATGTCTCATTGTTAGGTAAACTACTTGATGTTTCAACGTTAGGTAAACTATTTGATGTTTCATCGTTAGGTAAACTACTTGATGTTTTTAATCGTTAGGTAAACTACTTGATGTCTCATCGTTAGATTAACTATTTGATGTTTCAACGTTAGGTAATCTATTTGATGTTTCAACATTAGGTAAACTATTTGATGTTTCATCGTTAGGTAAACTACTTGATGTTTCATCGTTAGGTAAACTATATGATGTTTCAACGTCAATGTTTCGTTAGGTAAACTATATGATGTTTCAACGTTAGGTAAACTACTTGATGTCTCATCGTTAGGTAAACTACTTGATGTTTCAACGTTAGGTAAACTACTTGATGTCTCATTGTTAGGTAAACTACTTGATGTTTCAACGTTAGGTAAACTACTTGATGTTTCAACGTTAGGTAAACTATTTGATGTTTCAACGTTAGGTAAACTACTTGATGTTTCATCGTTAGGTAAAATACTTGATGTTTCATCGTTAGGTAGACTAATTGATGTTTGATTGTTGGTAATCTACGCGTTTCATCGTTAGGTAAACTACTTGAGTCATTTCCTCATGACAGTTAGTCTGCTTCCTGTGATGAAATCTTCAGGATCGGATTGCCGGATTGTGTTGTTGTCTAGTCTTTGGTGAGTAAGACTTATTTTCTTTAAAAGTTTTTGAAACAATAGCTTACCATCATGTTGATGCGAAGTTGTTACATATATATCACAAAGCAACAAAATTATGTTGGAAAATATTAATCTTAAAACAAAGTTAGAAATATCTCGTTTATAGCACATCACTTAATAATAGTTTTCTATGAGAATGTTTGACATGTGAAGATGAAGAATCAACATCATTTCACTGTAGGTAACAGGATACGTTCATAAATAATCTCCCTGAATCCATATTACCTTGGCATTTATTATAGCATGAATGCATCGATAACATGTTAAGGTGAAACAGTTTAGATGTATCCCGTACAAAATGTACTTTTATCTGCAAATAAATGTGTTTGCTTTTGAATGTGACTTAAAGAAGTTCATAGATCGTGACACAATCAGTCATGTGACACATTATTTAAATTCAGAACTGTTTTTTTAAAATATCTGAACCAATTCCAAGTTATATTCCGTCCCAAAGTAACTCGCAACTCCGATTTATGTTTCTATGAAGCGGAGAGAGAAATGACATGTGATTAGTGCATCAATGGTAGGCAGATAACATATATCAAAGTATTGAAAGTACTGAGGACTGATAATGATACACCAGCATCATTAAAAGAACAGTTGAAATACTAACATTTCAATACAATCATAATCCAAACTCAAATTCAAAAACACTACGACAAAATAACAACTAAAGACAAAATACAATGAGACTCCCGAAAACGTTCAAGGAGAATAAAGAGCAGATGTTCCGAAAGAGTAATGCGTCTTCTGCTTCATAAAGGGCACCTGCTTTGTAAATCCCGGTCGGTCCAATTAAATTGAGTACAAGGTATACAACAACGGAACCAACTAAACAAGCGAGCAACAAACACGTTTAGCTTTATATCGTACAAAGAAACAGACTATTTCTGACGACCTTAACACTTAATTGGTTAACTAAAAGTTGGGATGTGTAAACAAATACATTTCTATTCTGTTTTTTTATAGGTACAAGTCTGGAAGATTTGAATTAAACAAGATAAATGCAGAAGATGAAACTATGGCCACGTATGATAGTGACCACTATTACCAGAAGAGTAAATTATATATGGTAACAAGCTGCTATACATGAGCATATGCCATAGATATTTTCTTCGAAAATGCGACAAACTTATGAATTATGTAAATGCGGTTGGGAAATCTCCTTCACAAATTTCTAATTTTGTTTGATATTTTTGTCATTCGTTCTAACACCAAAGTAAACACAATTTGCATTAACCACTACAGCCTCTAGTTGATGAAAATTTTCCCCTTTCGGCAGATCATAAACAATTTATTTAGGTCATAGATTACAGAGGTGATTCGCTACCAGTGACATTGAAAGCTTAATTACCACGATATATGTTGACTTGTGTCACTTGACCTTGTCACGGAAACCCGTAATGATCGACAAGTCGCGGGTCATTCCAGCGATAACACTTCCAGAGTTATTTCCCTTTGTGTATTGCGTATTGGGAGGCGGAGTGAAGACTATTATATAAATAGTTGTTGACGGACTGTTATAAGATATCAGTCTGCCGTATATTAAACAACTGATATAAATCACAGCCACAGATAACAGTTATCCCGAAAAATAAAATCGTTGGAAATTGTGCACATTGTCATTATTCACAGAGAATAGATATCACGGTACAAAATCGTTATAACGAAATACGAGTTAAACATCATGGTGGTCGATGAATATATATCAAAGCAGCTCATTACCTATCTCAAATTATCCGATATATGAAAATTACGGTTGAATTTTCGATTTTCTCAGTCACTTCCTGGGCTTGTGCATCATCGACGAGTCTTAGAAGGACGACACGTGTGCGGTGCATTTTAATTCATTGCGTGACTCTGCTGTAACGAACTCTAATTTAGGGTTGATAGGACTAGTCACTTATTTGTCTGTTGCACAATCTTGTAAAAGGGACATTACACACGCCAATGGTTGAAATTGTGTTTACTGATAATTTACCTTGATGATTATTACATTGATTTTTACAGGTAACACGAAATATGAAATAGTTAAACGTCAGATTAGGACAGCGCACATATTCACGATCAAAACGAAGCATATTTTTCGTAATGATAATTATTTTTATTTCTTAATATAATTATTTATTATAGCAGTAGTATCACCTCTTACTGATGATTCCGTCATCTTTTGATTTACAGATAATGATGATGTATAAGATGAACAGGATTCTGCTACAGTCAGATATAACAGTCACGTGTGTTCATCCTGGCATCGTACGAACTAATATGATGGATGAGTTTCAGGAAAAGGCATCATGTATGTACAGGGGAGCCGTAGGCTGTATAAATTGTCTAGGTATGTAACTGAAAATTTTAAATTATTTTTGAAGAAAAACATTGTATGACTAGATATTAATGACTTTCATTGCAACACTATTCCACCTAGCTGACACATGACTTGTCATTTGTGTTTGAAAATGAGGAGTATCCTACAAACGTGATGGTGCTACGCCTGTCTGGAAGGTACAATGACCTACCAATTTATTATATAAGAATTGTTTCATTTGATGTACTAATTAGAAAACAATCAAGAAAATACCACCATCATTATCCAAACTGTAATTCCATAAAACAAGGGGAAAATATGAACAAATAAAAATACGTGAAAACTCCTGAAAAGTACCAGAAGAATAAGACCAGGGTTCTAGAAGAGTTAGCGTTTTCTGCTCCATCACGACGTCCGCCATGTAAATATTGGTCAATCCAAGTAAGTAATGTCACGTTATCAAACGAGAATATGGTATACAACAATGGAACCAACAGACAAACTAACGACTATCAAACACGTCCAGTTTCATATCACACAACGAAATAGAATATCGCTCAAAAAGATCACTATGGCAACCATAAGTCTTTGATGTCTTTGATTTCCACTTCTGGTAGGGGTATAAGATGGACATAATCATGAAATTTTATTTTACGACAAGACGTCATCAATAGATCTGAAGGTAAAGGCTTACTGTTTTGATATGCTCATAACTAATAGTTGTGATCAGCTGTTGTTAAGATGTGGTCGATTTCATTTTTTGGGAAACATCACCTGCATTTGCCTGGTATACGTGGTTGGCATCATGAATGACACAGTCGCTTATATTTACTTATTTGTGTTTGATTGGTTGGTTATGTTTAAACGTCCCCACAACAGTTAAAGTCATAGCAAGATGATGTGTACGGAGTATAGAATCCCTCTAGGGAACATTTATAGTGCTGCCACGCCGAAATGTCATGGCCAGGACGCGATAGCTTGACATCAACTCGGCCATGTTATAATGACGCTTGTCTGATCAGTTCATCTCAATCTATACAAGAAAGCATAGACTACTCAACTCGGGCAGGTGTCAAGACAGACAATGGGATATAGATGTAAATTCTTTAGAACAGAACGAAAACCAAATATCAATATTAATGATCAGTGGGGACAGCAGGAACCATTCTGATGCTTTAAATGCAACAGATATACATTCTTTGATAAATCTCTCGTTTTATTGACATTGAGGAAAACTCACGATGTCGTTTTGATGTCGGATTCTCGAGGATATAACACGCAACCTCTGACTTGACTTTGTTTTGTACGGCGAGTGTCTTCGTCGAGACTACAGAATGGAGGCAATGTTATTTACCTGTACGTTACAAGAATGTCCTCTTGCACACATCTATCAACCGTGTATTATCTTCATCTAAGGCTTTGGCGCTCTGTAGTTTGCCAGTGTGATTTACCTTGTTCTCATATTGCGATTGTTAATATTTGTTAAGGTTCATCGAAATTGCTTTTAGATAAGTTCTCTGTTGGCACATGTTTTCACTTTGGTATTGCGTTTGTTTGTATTTTGTCAAGGTTTCATAGAATTTTCTTGTAATCAGTTGTCTATTGGCATGTGAGTATTTTTGTCTTTGTTTTAGATAGTACGACACTTTATGTTGTTATAGGATTATCAAAGTCTGTAGAGCAGGGATCATGGACTTCAGTCAATGCAGTAGTAAATCCAGAATTGACCGGAGTCCGAGATGTTTATTTCAACAATTCAAAGCCAGAGACCATCAAACCGCATGCCAAGTATGTATTCTATACGCAGTCAATAATGTTATATATTTGTAAGGGTGTGATGTGATCAAAATCCAATTCAAATACATTACATTGTATCTCCATATCATCATGTTATGAATCTGTTTTTTTTTTTTTTTTTTTTGTCAAAATTGAGTTTTACGTGATTTTTGGTATGATCTTGCTTTGGTTTGTGCGTTTCCCCATCACAACAGCTAAAGTAATTTGAGAGGGTTCCAATGATTTTGTAATTTGTTAACGTCCTGTCAATATATATAGCCATTAAAGGACATCTGTGTATGTGAGATGATGTATGTGTTAAATACCTGTGTTTTTGAGAGGATATGGTATCATTTTGTAAACTTTGTAACAAGGCGGAACTGATGTATTCTTCATCGCGGCATCAAAGTGTCTCTATCTTGTCAACACGGGAATAGTACCAGAACGTTTGATTTTGCATATGATCAGGAAAAAATGGTCTTCCCTCCTCTTGCTGCCTGATGTAAGAGTATTCGTAATTTGTTTTGGGAGATTGGTAGCAAATCTAGGCAACATTTCGGTATATATACAAGAAATATTTTTAGAAGTCGAATATGTTTTTCACTATGGAACGGTTCTCAGTTCTAATATGAGAAAATTATAAATATTAGACATTCTGATTTCTATAATTACATATCTATGAATGCTAATATGGTATATATTTCTAATATGTTACAAATTCATGTGCAATTTGAAATACAATTGATTGCAGGGTCAAGATATTAAAGAATGTTCATGGATATCGTACCATTTTATGTATGGCATCGATATGCTAGCTGCAATAAAATATATTTTCATTGAACAAGTCAATTATTTATATCCAACTTTCTGTGTAAAGTTACATAAAGTTATATTCGTACGCATCCACTGTTAAAACAGTTAACAATATATCACGTTTCTGTGCATTGACTTGCATGTCGCCCTATATTTTGTTCAATACAAAACAAACCTAGAAATATTATCATTGCTTTGGAGCTTAGTTTAAAACGAATTAAGAATAAAACTGAATTATAGAACACAGGATCAGTAAACAAACAAAGAGCCTTCTCTATTTATGCATTTATCAAATCTGTCTACAGTACAGATCTAAAGAATGACGATCGATGAATTTCCTCAGTAAAATCGAAAACACCAGGACATCGTTTATGCTGCGTTCGATCACCGTCTCTTCCTTTTTCTCTCCATTCACTAACACTGCTTGCATTTGTTTCTCTGCATAACACTGATGATTAAGTCCAACTACAGCGAAAAATGAAATGTTTTAAATGCAAATTGTTTTGAATTACTATCAGTTAATATAAATTACATAGACTATCAACGGAAATAATTTATAGAGATTTAGTTTAAGCACTGATTTTTAGACTATGTATTGGTCAGTCAATATGTTCCTCTTTAATAAGTAATACCAGCATGTCGCATGTTCGTGATGGTATGTTTTCTACTTCGACAGAGTTCTGGATGAGCAGGAAACGTTGTGGCAGTTTTCATTGGACCGAGTGAAAAACCACCTTCCAGATGATATCTTGGAGGAGTTAAAAAATACATAATTCAATGAGTGTTTTGTTAACTAACCATTGTCTACCAGTTACCGATAGCAAATATAGAGAGAGAAATGTTGCAAACTTGCGAGATTAACTCGGTGGAATAACACATTACCAAACAAAACTTTAACAAACTGGTCGATATCAAACATTTTAGGAAGATCGGATATTCCGGCTGAGTTCATATGCGGCATCCAACTCAGCCCTCCACCTCTTGGTGTCGCAGATTCGAGGTCTACGTGAGATGGTCGCTGTGTACTGGCGGAAGGTCGATGTTTTCCCGAGGAGCTCTGGCTTTTTCCCACCTCCAAAGTACAACACGTCCTTAGATGTCCCTGGTTGTTATTGGGACGTAATGTAAAGATAAACTAAACTAAATTTTGCAGCGAATACAGGATATCTTAACGATATTGGACAGTAAATCAATCTGTTATGGTTATAGACATGGTTATGTATCTATTGACGTATGTTGATTTACGTTTCAATATTTTTCCTGTTTGTAGAAAACATAGGTCCTGATATTATTTGCACGAAGATGGACGTTACATGGGATACACGAACTACGCCACATTTATACAGACGTTTGTTGTATTGATTTTTATGCATATTAATACAGAGTCATAACAATCGTTAATCGTTATACACAACAATCAATATTTTTTTTATAATAAAAAATATATTTGCTATTTTTAGAAGATAGGGTACATTTTATACTTGTATCAGTGGTTGTCATGATACGCTATGGACCTGCATTTATTGCACAAGAAAATAATAATTAGATATATTGTAGTTAACCTTCCCCGTCCAATCAACATGAACTGTAAGCTCTGCTGCATTGTTAAGACAATATATTAGCTTAAAATACTATTAAAATATTTTTTCAAAATACATAAAAGTGGAAACAATTTTGACCAAAATGTACATGGCGAGTGTCTTTGACGAAGCAGAAGACGCTTTCTCTTCCGGGACCCCTTGTACTTATTCTTTTAATTTTCAGTAGTTTCTATGTAGATGTTTCGTTTGTTCACAATTTAGCCTAGGGTTATAGTTTGCCTTATGAATATGTTGACATGTTGGACATGTCTTTTTTTCAAATACAAACAGATTTGATACAGTAGATTCATGCTATGAATTTGACTGCATAGGACAGCTGTTTCGTATTTCTAGAACGTTTCTTCCGAACTTCTTAAATTAAATGTTTAGTTTTATCAATATTTGAGAGCGTTATATCAGTCTATTGTTACACCGAAATAACATGACAGTAGAAATTTAAAAATTGAAAAAAATCTATTAATTCTTCCTTATGTGAAACCATATCAGAACATGAAATTTTACATTATCAAAGCATCTCATTCAAGAGTTGTACGGGTTCTTTAAGAAAGTAATAGGACAACATGGATAACCGATAAATCTGACATCGGGTATGTTGATATATTAGAACTAATGACGATGTATGTAATCGATAGTCAGGAAACTCGGAGGCGATGTTTATTGCGGTCTGCTTAATCTTGGGTAAAACCTGTGATTAATTAACCAAAATAGCATAATCCGGAACACAGCACGTTTGACTTTTTAAACTATATGCATTATAATAAAAAATCACAGCAGAAATATTTTGTTTTGCATCAGCTTAAAAGACTATCTGTATAAAAGCATAAGGTGTACACAACAGGTTGCTTAAATCCACGGGTCACAGCAGATTACAGGTTACTAGGGGGATTCGAACACGCTGATAAACTGTGATACTAGTATGTAAAACTTAACACAAGTCACTCACTTATGTCTTTGATTGTGTAGTTCTATAGTACTGACAAGGCATTGGAACATAATGTATGGTCATGATAAGTCTCCATAGTGATCTCATAGACAAATATTTAATTTCTTTGTGCGACATGAAGCTTTACGTATTTGATGCTCGCTACGTTGCCTGTTGGTTCCGTTGTTGTATACTTTGTTCTCATTTAAGAACGTGACATTACTAACATGCATTGACCAAGTTTTGCATCACGGTCATCGTCTATGACGCAGAAGACACTTACTCTTCCGGAACACCTGGTCTTATTCTCCTTGTACTTTTTTCAGGAGTCTCCGTGTAAATAGTTCATATTTTGCCCTAGTTATATATTATAATTTGAGTTTGAATTTTGATTATGTTTCCATGTTGGTATTTTCTTGATGTTTTTCGTTCAGTTCCAGTAGTGGACAGTGTTATAAAGAAACCGATTAAGATAAGAACCTCTCTATAGATTACAATTGCCTAGAAACCAGAGGAATTTGCAAATATTTCAGAATGAATTGTTCATAATGAGTATCGAACAATACGTTTATGAAGGACATGATACCGATTCGGATTATCCCTCTTAACACACGTCCTCATATATGATAAAAGCAGGAAACAAAAAGTCATTCAACTACAGGAGACCTTTAATGATAAAACCTCACAACACTCAAGTCACGTAAACAGCTATAGCCATTTGTAAATTTGGCCTGCCCTTAGAACCTGGTCTCTTCCTCTCTGGAAGATGTGTTGAAGGCCCATCGTATACTTTCAAAAAGGATATGGCCCGATATTAGGACGACCTCTGCTCACAGCGTTTTGAGAAAACGAAATCGTCCAAACTAAAGATGACGTCCAGGATAGAAGTCATTCATGATATTAATACACTTAATATTCACAATTTAACATAGTTTGAATGCTTTTGAATTGAACAGATATGTGTTTTGTTAACGGCAAAAAATTGAGGACAGACGTCTATTGAATGAGTATTGTATTAATGTCTTTTCAGTTGCTCAGTTATGATTTAGTGTAATGTGAAATTAATATCTCGTTAATCAAAATAATAAAACTGAATCTCGCATTACTCCAATACCTCTTCAATAATACTCGAGGCAATGGTTATGAAAATACATATGGGTACTAACGTCAAGATATACACACTAGGTCCATCCTCCTTGACAGGGGTTTAACGTCTAACATGACGGTTATCTTCGATTTCGTAATAAGCGGATCAAATAACAACAAACCATGACAATATCGAGATAATTCCTGGAAAGTTCAAATTAAATTCTATTGGGGGTACCTGAAGCCTGGTGTTGCTCAGGAAAGCCAAAATAGTGCATTTAAGGTATACAATAAGCTTTGATACTGTGAAAATAGAAATACTTTATTGGCATCTCATTCTACCCTCTCCCACCACATATTGTATCTCATCTACCAAAGGACCCGAATAAGTTTAAACATGTGTACACAGGGCAGTTGTGGAAATTATATCATTTCGTATTTCTGCATCTATTTCAGTAGTCATAAGGGCGATCACCAAATGTCATAGGTTACTTGTCTTATGGTCACTTACAGTCAGTTGTAATATAAATTGAACTCTGTTAATTAGATGATGTGAAATATATAAAAAGGATAGCTCAGACTACGGCGAACGGAACTTCATGACAAAAAGTCATCCTGACATTTAAGGTCACATAATATAAACAAAAATGCAGGCAGAAATCAAATTTAAAAGTTTATTTTTTTTCTTCATTTTTACAAGATTTAAAAAAAACATCAATGACTGTCGAAAGATGTCATCAAAACCAAATTATTCTGTTGCCTTTCCGTTGTTTTGTGGAACAAAAATGATTGAAATACTCCTTTTTAACCAATGATTAGTATAAATATGGCTTGAACATTTTTCAGCGAACATACATGAACTAGCTTAAATGGGAAATTGAAAAAATAACAGCTCTTGTGAAAATATATACAAAAATACGTAGAATGATATAAAAAACATACTGTAAGCACATATCTATAATTTAAAAAAGGTCAAAGTTCTGATCAGAATATAAATTCGATTACAGATACGTTTTATATGAACTTAAAAGTTTTATTAATAGTAAGGTGAATTTGAAGACAGTTCCCGATCTATAGAGGTAAATTTACTGTTAGCAATCGGTCTTACCTGGGAGGCTTTAAACCTCCAGTAGGATATCTCACCAGGTCACATTATACTGACAAGAGGCCAACACATCTGTACACTACCACACTGAAGTATACTACTGCAGGCCTCCAGTAGGACACCTCACCAGGTCACATTTTACTGACAACGGACAAAACCAGTCGTTACACTACCACACTGAAGTATACTACTGAATGCCAACAGCAGGACACCCCACCCGGTCACATAATACTGACAACGGACAAAACCAGTCGTTACACTACCACACTGAAGTATACTACTGAATGCCTCCTGTAGGACACCCCATCCGGTCACATAATACTGACAACGGGTGAACCAGCCGTTACACTACCACACGGAAGTATACTACTAAAGGCCTCCTGTAGGACACCTCACCCGGTCACATTATACTGACAATGGGTAAAGTAGTTACACTACTACACTGAAGTATACTACTGAAGGCCTCCAGTAGGACACCTCACCCGGTCACATTATACTGACAACGGGTAAACCAGTCGTTACACTACCACGCAGAAGTTTACTACTGAAGGCCTCCTGTAGGACACCCCACCCGGTCACATTATACTGACAAGAGGCCAACACATCTGTACACTACCACACTGAAGTATACTACTGAAGGCCTCCAGTAGGACACCCCACCCGGTCACATTATACTGACAAGAGGCCAACACATCTGTACACTACCACACTGAAGTATACTACTGAAGGCCTCCAGTAGGACACCCCACCCGGTCACATTATACTGACAAGAGGCCAACACATCTTTACACTACCACACTGAAGTATACTACTGAAGGCCTCCAGTAGGACACCCCACCCGGTCACATTATACTGACAACGGACAAAACCAGTCGTTACACTACCACACTGAAGTATACTACTGAATGCCAACAGCAGGATACCTAACCCGGTCACATTATACTGACAAGAGGCCAACACATCTGTACACTACCACACTGAAGTATACTACTGAATGCCAACAGCAGGATACCTTACCCGGTCACATTATACTGACAAGAGGCCAACACATCTGTACACTACCACACTGAAGTATACTACTGAATGCCAACAGCAGGATACCTAACCCGGTCACATTATACTGACAAGAGGCCAACACATCTGTACACTACCACACTGAAGTATACTACTGCAGGCCTCCAGTAGGACACCTCACCAGGTCACATTATACTGACAACGGACAAAACCAGTCGTTACACTACCACACTGAAGTATACTACTGAATGCCAACAGCAGGACACCCCACCCGGTCACATAATACTGACAACGGACAAAACCAGTCGTTACACTACCACACTGAAGTATACTACTGAATGCCTCCTGTAGGACACCCCATCCGGTCACATAATACTGACAACGGGTGAACCAGCCGTTACACTACCACACTGAAGTATACTACTGAAGGCCTCCTGTAGGACACCTCACCCGGTCACATTATACTGACAATGGGTAAAGTAGTTACACTACTACACTGAAGTATACTACTGAAGGCCTCCAGTAGGACACCTCACCCGGTCACATTATACTGACAACGGGTAAACCAGTCGTTACACTACCACGCAGAAGTTTACTACTGAAGGCCTCCTGTAGGACACCCCACCCGGTCACATTATACTGACAAGAGGCCAACACATCTGTACACTACCACACTGAAGTATGATACTGAAGGCCTCCAGTAGGACACCTCACCCGGTCACATTATACTGACAACGGACAAAACCAGTCGTTACACTACCACACTGACGTATACTACTGAATGCCAACAGCAGGACACCCCACCCGGTCACATAATACTGACAACGGACAAAACCAGTCGTTACACTACCACACTGAAGTATACTACTGAATGCCTCCTGTAGGACACCCCATCCGGTCACATTATACTGACAACGGGTGAACCAGTCGTTACACTTCCACACCGAAGTATACTACTAAAGGCCTCCTGTAGGACACCCCACCCGGTCACATAATACTGACAACGGGTGAACCAGTCGTTACACTACCACACTGAAGTATACTACTGAAGGCCTCCTGTAGAACACCTCACCCGGTCACATTATACTGACAACGGGTAAACCAGTCGTTACACTACCACGCAGAAGTTTACTACTGAAGGCCTCCTGTAGGACACTACACCCGGTCACATTATACTGACAATGGATAAACCAGCAGGAAGTAGTAAGACTATATTTTACTGGTATATCTTGGCCAGAAGTAATAGCCAGCCTTCCTAACAGCTCCTGTCAGGGTAAAGACGAACCTTCCTGTTTCAGTTGCAACAGAATTATAAATTATATATCGCACGAGTGTAAATGACTCTTGCGATTTCCAAATTTGACCTTTTGTAATCTTTGCTTTCAGGTAAAACACTATGTAAAAATAGATGATACAACTCAAGACACCATGTAGATAGTGATTATTGCGAAAATGCGATAAAATTTGTATTTTGTTGTACAAAAAATCCTTTCCTCACTTAGAATTATCTAATGCCTTTATTCGTTGGACTACGCCCTTCTGAGTAGGGTTATTGGCTCTGTACATAAGTTAAGGTAAATTTGCCGTGAAACTAGACACTGGAAACACCCACCACTCCCAAGAACCAATGAGATGGACCGTATAATAATATGTAAATATTATGTTTCAGTGAAGAAATACTACAAAATGAGAATTTATCATCAAAAATACCTAAATGTGTATAAGGTTAAAAACAAACAACACTATCTTCTACACTTAATGCTGCCACAAGGATCTATACGAGCTATGAAATGTGCTGGGAGAAGAAGTATTCTAATACAGGGACATGTAGAAGTTATGAAGGTCCATACCACATAAATAATGACAGTCCTAAGATATATCAACATCACATAGTATCTCATATCCAGACTTTCCCTAACACTGGTCCTCGTATGGCCGCGAATGTTGCGAGGACATTAAACAAAGTCAAAAATAAACATTATATCATCATAAGCATTGAAGTTAGACACGAACTTGAAATCAGGGATTTTGAAATGGTGAAATATCGGTAATTTTAAATCACCGCGTTTACGATAAACATGCGTATGCTGTTAATGTCGAAGACTAGTTTTTATCATAAAAACACTTTTTCGTTTTAGTTTGAAATTGAATGGTCTAGCATGTTTACTTACATATTCATCTGTAAAATCTCCAATTAGCACAACCATGAATTTTAACACCTAATTGCAGAAATAATATTAGAAAAAATAACACGTGTTTTTCTTTAACATTAACCAACGCAAACGCAGCTATTTCGTTCTTGATTTAGTCACCACGTAGCATCCAATGTTCATTCACCAAGGCAGCTTGCTAAAAAATGCAAAAAAGGAAAATTATCTCCCTTACCTCAGCAAGTTATCAATATGATAAAGTACACGTTACGGTGTTCTAAAAATAGGCAAGTGACACAGACGTGGAAGTCTAAGATTGTAAAAATAGTAATCTTGGATACTCATTTCAAATTAGATACAGAGCCAAATTAAAACTCGAGCTGTGCCTCTAGGACATTTCACTGATCAAAATGGCCTTAATTTTGAAACCTCGATGGATTGGGACTGAGTAAAATTCAACGTGGTATGAGGAAATGTCAAAATTTAGACGGCAAGCATCACTAGCCCAAGTCTTACATAAATTTCGTAATCTTCCAGGATGTGTCTTTATCATCAAAACAGTGCACAACACCAGAAGCCCGTTAAAACTAAATCCGCCCCTACTCTCATGTCCACAATTCACATCTACATGTTCCATTATTGCACTGTAATACCGGTATACAAGTGTGAATCCGCATGTTAATAACAAAATGAAGAAAACGAACACTTACTCCATTTCGCAGACAAAGTGCATCAGGTCTGAACAGGTAGCACTTGACCAAGTTCCATCTGCTTTTGCCATGGTAAGGCATTTTTTGTTGGATGTATCTGCTGGTTGACCATATGCCATGTTCAGGTAGGTAAATTCTGGCCTGCCGACATTCCACAGGAACCGTCCATCGGCATTAGCCTCAGCGTCCATCCACAAGGTAGCAGTTGTCGTTCCTGTAGACATACATACCAAACTGTTACCTATATAACTCACCAATATCCTGGACATTTCAGAAGTACGCCAGGAATCCATACGTTTGATTTAAGTTTGGTTTCATATGATTTTACGTCCTCTTAACAACATTGGTCATATGATGATTCCTCCAAATAAGTGTTAAAGTTAGAGCAGAAGTCGTATATATTTATATAAGAAATAAGATGAGGTAGATTAAATTTCGCAAATTTTAGGTAGGATCAGGGAATCGATTGTAAGACAAATCAGTAGTAAGACATTAAATTGTTGAAAACTTGGAAACGATTAAGGAAAGTTGCTGTTTATTGATCTATATGTTAAAAAATAGACAAAAAAGAGAAGTTGCAACAACTCTACAATTCAATAAATATTTCATATTGAATTCGTCTAGTACTTTTTTTACTTGTATATATTCTGAAACGTGCCTTAGGTAGACTAAATTAAGACGTTGCATACAGGTTACGAAAAAGTCCACCAACAACATCAACCTCCTCCACCAATTTCGGAAATTGTACACAAGACAAACAAGTAGATAACACTTTTTAAGGCGAATGAGGTAGTAACATATCAGACACTCCACGTATCGCACGAGGCCAGACAAATGCTGTACTTTTAATGTAACTTTAACGAATGAACACTTTACAAGTCTCACAACAGTTCAGCAAAGAACTCTTATTTACTTAAAACATTATATATTTTAAACTATAGATTGTTAATTTTTCTATGAATAAACCAAACTTTGCTATATTCACCATCGAATGCAGCATTAGCGTTCAGGAATGCTTGCTCTTGAACATTGTTGATTTTCAATAGATGTCCAAATATTCCATCCTGTTCGCAATAAGCCTATAAATAGAACATTTCAAATAATTAAAAGTACAAATTTAATATCGTAACATGATTTACCGCAGTAAATGTTTCTTTATCAATCGAACGTTAATTAAACGTTTATTGTAATGACACCATTTTTTATTATTATACATTTCATTAAGAACACAAGGAAAAACTCTCCACTGTCTAGGTAGCTCACATTTGCATCGGCGCGGTTGAGATTCTCTTTGACAATCAGGTAGAACGACTCTGTGGACTCCAAGTCTCGTCCTAGCTGAGGTTCTGTATAGAATAAAAAATAACATTTGCTTAAAAAATTTGATTTAGTTTAGTTATGTATTGCTTATTGTCCTATCAACGGCTGTTTTGCCTTTTACTGTATACTTAAAGAGTGGATGTGTTGAATGCGCCTTTCTAGAAGATTGCGATATCCCTTTCCTTTGCGAGTCCCATTGTGATAATCCAATCGTTTCATTCTATAGTTGCATAAAAAAAACCCCAAAAAAACAAAAACAAAAAACAAAACAAAACAACAGAAAAAATCTGTGTATGAAAGGTGAAATGTGAGAGTGTTACAACTGCTCATGCGCTACCACGACACCATTCACTAGTTATAGAATTTGAACATATAACTTACAAAACATCTATGATATTGGAATCCTTCAAATGTCAAAGCATCACTAATATACTCCTAGTACAGAGCCTTATCAAGAGATGAATTCATCTAAAAAAATGGGCTTTGATTGTCAATTAATTTTATTAAGGCTACAGTAGTTCTGGATTTGGACAAACTAAAGGAAAAATTTTGACCTTTTTTACAATCTCTGAACTAAATTTGCATACCTACGAATGATGGGTGTATAAAATTTCACTCGTTAAATCGTCTTTATTTTTTTCCAACACACCATGGATTTAGTGATTGAGAGATAAGTCAATTTTGTCAATTAGTGTTGTTCATATCCTGAAAGCGAGGGGAGTAGTGTTGGACATACCGGTTTTTACAAGTCGGATGTTAATATTGCAATAGGAAAAACACTTTTCAAATACAATTTAAGTTGAATAGATTGAATTATAACTGCATAATGAACTTAAACAGCATTATGCAGCTATATGAGAAAATTAACTTGTCATTACACGGTGCGTCATAAAAATATATTAATTCCTAGCAGAAGACATTACTAAATCGCTTCTCTTCTCTCAGGTACGTTTATTCAACCAAAAATATATCAAAAATGTATCTTACTCATAGAATGATATTTCCTCAATACTTTTGCATACTATACATAGTAGTGAATATTAACGATTTTAATGAGGTCAACGAAGACTTGACATTTTTTGTTGTTGTGTAAATCCATTGTTGTCCATTATTGACATTACCGCAGCTACATGTTCACAACATTACAGAACCATTGACTAAGCACAGTTCGCTATTGAGTATAGTGATGGTAAATAGTCCCACATTCAAATGTCTATTTACTAACGATACAGAACATTTAAGTGTAAAATATTGAGATGTCACATGCAAATATATATGTAAAGCTTGCATTACTTTGAAGTAGCACAACTAATTGCCTTTTCTGGTCGATACAATTGGCAGCACTTTATAGGAAACGTTTTAATACAATGACATTTTTTATTGTGGGATAAACGAATCCCGGCACGTGCTACCTTTTCATTTTATTGAAAGGCCAAATAGAGTTCTTGCTTGTGACCTTTTATTCCTCAGGCACATAGCAACGACTCTTACTGTTAAGGTTACATTTAGTGTGATGTAGTAGATAGTTCTGACAACGGGTCATCCCATGTTATGATTATAGAAATATATTCCGGTGACTTTCTGGAGTGACGTAGATCTCAATTATTTAGAAATGCATTTCATTAATCTTCTCAAATAAGCAAAGTTTACAGTTTAAAAACAAGCAAATAAGATACCGACATATCATCGAAATCTCCATTTAATAGAACTAGGACCAAGAATAACGAAATATTTACAAGTAGACTACTTGAAAAGGACAATGATAGTAAGACCAGGTATCATGGAAAGGTACGCGTGCTTGACAAATACAGTTTGCTCCCATGTAAACCAAAAAAGAATTTATATCGATTGGTGATTAAAACACTTAAGTGTTTGGCATCCATATTTATACTCTTTACTCCAGTTGCGTGCATACGCGTGTCTCCGTAAGCCTACGATGTGAAACGTCAAAGTGTTCGGTAATCGAAGATAAATGGCGGAAATGGTTCATCATTTGAAGACTTTAAGTATTTAGTGCAACTACTGATCTGATCAGGACAGCAATGGAGACAAACCTTGATCGATTAAAGAACACAGTTATTTGCTTTAATAATCGATATTTTCAAACGTTGTAATAAGGTTTTGTGTTTTGGCGTCCTTCTCCTGTTAACAGAACATGCATGTCTACACATCTGTGTTTCTAGAGCTGGGATTAAGTTGTCTATGGTATTCCGTATGTATAACATAAACAGTCCTTGGTGCCCGGAAATTAAAAGTCATGTCGTTGAACAAATCTAAATCACATTCTAAACTCAAATTCAATGAAACAAGGTCAAAATATCAACTGAAAAAGATTTACATGGTGACTACTGAAAAGTACGTGAATATTAAGACCAGTTCTTCCGGAAGAGTAAGCATTTTATACTTCTTCACGACACTAGGTTAGTCCTAGTAAGTAATGTCACTTTTCAACGGAGTAAAATAATGTAAAAACATCGGAACAACCAGACACACTAACTAGCATCGAACACTTCCAGTTTCATGTTGCTGAAGGCACTACATCCAATGAGATCGTTTTGAAGGCTATAAAACCAACCTCCTGTTAACCTTCGACCTGAATCTTTCTACACCATATACGAGATGTCTGTCAGATGTACGATATCTGGCACATTTGTGCTGGGGACAAACCATGAATAGCAAGTAAATTACAACAGGTAGATGCCATAGAGTGAAGCCAAATAAATGATATTTACAATTATATAATAATAAGCCAAGTCTTTCTATGGGTTTATTAACACTTTATGTAGAGCGAAACGAACGTGTACTACAGCCCTGTAGGCTAAAATAATACTTACGCATCCACACATGGGTATTTGCCAACGGAACTGCATTTTCTGCGGTACCAACAAATGATCGGCAGTCGGCTTGACCTTCTGTAAATGTTAAGTAATGACACCCCGCTGGATCATTACGACAACGATCGACGCAGTCATCAAGATGAGGTATAAACTCTCTGGAGGCAGTTGGGCTGAATACTTTTCCTGCACGCGATGGGTCAGCGACCCATGTCAGACCAGGATAGGCATTCCTTAGTGTCGTCTTTCTGTTATCTACAGGAAAAGATCAGGATTGTTAAAATTAATGTAATTCGTCATTTACAAATATAACTAGAACGGCGAAAGTACATCCAAATGAAACAATACAGTATGTCTTAGCTCAAATAATTTACTCATATACTCGTCATTTACAAATATAACTAGAACGGCGAAAGTACATCCAAATGAAAGAATGGTAAACAGAAATGTAACCAGTAGACAAACGGGACGAAATGAAGCCTTAGTGAATGCTTACGAAACGTGCCTGGACCAGTAATAAAAGTTGAAAACGTGTGGTTTCTTACTGAGGTCCTTCAGTCGAGATTGAACGAAGTTCATGAAACAAGTAGGAGGCTTCAACGCACTCAGTGATTGGTAGTGTTGATGTTGCATCAAATTGAATATATCTACCTCGTAATGTTTAGATTTCATCAGCAGTGAATATGTTATAATATTATATCATCCATTGTCCATTCTTGTGCAGTGAAATTTCAAATACCCCGAACTCTAGTATCGATACTTATATCTAAGCTTTCAGAAGCTCTTATTGATTTATATGAATATAACAATAAGCTGGATGTGGTTTCTCGTTTGGGATTTTTTTAGTTATTACAGGTTCTTTGACTTATAAAGGCATAATAGGGAGTTTCATATTTATGTTCATTTTATTCCTGAAAGTCTTAGATTTCCTAACACAGCAGTTGTCCGTGTTCTATTTTTCCATTTTTGGGCTTAACTGAAAATCGTATTAAGTTATGCATGCTTTACATTAACTTTTCAATGAGTGTTAAGACATTGTAAACTCAAGAAAGGTATCAACATGTTAGCTACAAATGTGAACAGATTTCCTGATTAAAACCTATGTCTTCCAAACAATGCACTTGGCAACGTTCCGCGTGTAGACACGAGACAGTAAACCCATTACCAGTATAACATGACCGTGATGCAGTGAGGTGTCATTCTACTGGACACATGCTGAGACACTTCAGCATGATGTTATCATAATAAGGAATCGACCAACTCTTTCGTCTGCATTATACGCCTATGTGTACTGATACGATCACGTTTACAAAGCACCACAGAACACATCAAATTTCTAAGTTGATGAAATACTTACTTGACCATATTTTTGTGCCCGGTACCGATATGAAAGCTATCGACTGTGTGACGTTTTCGTATCCCCTACACATTTGCCGAGTCTTGTCAAACGTCACGATGTTACACTTTGGTTTTAATTCACAAGACGCCAGACAATCTTCAATATAGAAGTGAGTCTCCTTCAGCAGAGAAGGGATAAATATAAACCCGGCATTCATTATATCCTCCTGGAAATAGTCACTGGCAATGATAGCAACACCTGTAAAAAAAAAAAAAAAAAAAACGTGTGACGTGTTTCATCAAATTGTGGTACGGTTAAGAATATATACAAGTACTTGTCCTCATTCTAATATTATCTAATAGATGGCCATCACTAAACTTTACCTAAGTATGGGGCTAGAGCATTTCCTCATTTAGAATATGACTGTTCTTTCGAACACTGATTTTCCTCAGTCACCTCCTAGGTTTCCAGACCTTAGGAATTAGGTCCTTAGCATCATTGACGAGTCCTAGAAGGAGGAAACAGTGGTATGATGTAGCATTACTGACAAGTCATAGAAGGAGGAAACAGTGGTATGATGTAGCATCATTGACGAGTCCTAGAAGGACGAAACAGCTGTATGATGTAGCATCACTGACGAGTCCTAGAAGGAGGAAACAGTGGTATGATGTAGCATCACTGACGAGTTCTAGAAGGAGGAAACAGTGGTATGATGCAGTTAAAGTCCGTTCTACTGTATCTGATTCTGAATTCGTATTAAAAGGCGGTATTTACTTCTTTTTATATAGGTTGACATGGGTTAGCCTCATCACAACTTATACTGCTTTCCAGTATTTCATGGATGTAAATATACAATTTTTAATTCCCGCCCTATCTTATCGCTTCCTAACATACCAATCTCATACATACCAATAAATACGTATCTCTCCCGATATTATAGTGCTGTTAATACCAACTTAGCGTTATATGACAGGGATGTGGACAACTCTGACATCGAAATCGAATTATAACCTCCAATTAACGTAGATATACTGAGCCCCAAAAGAAACGCAAGTCTGACTTAAGATAGTTTTTTAAAGACATAACAAAAAGAAACTGAATGTTTTCTAATAGATTAAATAAGTTATTAAAATTGCAATTAAACAAAATATGGCTAGATTTCATTTCGTTAAATATACAGTTTCTATTGTCTATTAAATAAAGGTATCCACATGAAAGGAAAATCACAAATCAGTCAATAATGCGTATGTCCGCTTTGTGCAACATCGTCTCATGGAATTGCTGAGAATCTGGAAAAATGCCTGAGGCAAATTGTTCCCTTCCTGGAGGAGCCTCATTTCTAACTGTGCCAATGTTAACAGAGCTTCAGCGGTGCCATTTCCAGTAAAGGAGACAGCAAAGGCAGTGCATTCACATTAGTCTGTGTAAGGAAACTCATAGGTACTCGACGATGTCGTCCTGCTGGTAAAACTGTAGTTATGGTTGTGCAGCAAACAAGGGCCCGACATAGGTTCTGAGAACGTCATTCCTGTACACCACTGAAGTTACACGTTCCCGGAAAACGTGAAGAGATGTACGATGGTGGTAACTGAAGGCACCATCACACTGCCGCCATCTCATCTGTTAGCCTGCAGGACATAATAATCGGCATAACGTTTGCTTTACACGCAATCGGTCATCAGCATGGAAAAGATGGGATCGAGATTCGTCAGAAAAGAAAACTCATCGCCAGTCAACAAGACGCTATCATTGATGATGCCTTTTCCATTTAAGACGTTGATGGCGTTTGTTCTGAGTGAGAATATCCCTACGTAAGTACGTCAGCAGTTAATGCCATGTTTACGTAAGCGACGCCGGATAGTATTGGAAGCTGCTGTTCTGGTTGCAGGCTGGGTTACGATGATCAGTCACCCGGATGTATCGATCTTGGGCCTGAGTTGTTACCCTTGGTCTCCCCGCCCGGGAACGATCAGAAACAGAACCGTATGTTGGTACCGTTCAGCAAGCCTGGTGATAATGCTAACATGACATCTCAAGCGCCTAGCTACAATAGTGCTCGTCTGCAAACTTCCAAGAACCATTTCTCTTTGCAATTCTGTTAATCGGAGCATCGTGTTTCATGAGCATTATTCGCGCTACCTTCACTGAATGAATATTTTTAGGACGGACGACCACTTTATAAAGGACACGTCTCAGTGAAAACTAACCTATATTGCCCACACCCGTAATTGCGCGTGTAGAATTCACGATTTTACGCATTGCGCATGCGTCGGCGTGAACAGTGTCGTGAACAAAAGAACGCCATTTCATCATTTGCATTCACAACTTTATATTATTGATATTAACAGTAGTATACAAAATGTAACACCTAAACATTTTCACGTGAATGTGCACTATTTTGTTGGGTTAAGTATATGACATCTAATTCACATTCCAAGCCAATAAAGAATACTGTTGATTTGAAAAGTTGTCATGATTTGATTTTAAAAGTAAAATAAAACCAAGTGAATAGGCGAGGTAATGTTTTCCAAATTTTCCATTAAAAGAACAAAGGTAAAAGCTGAAATGTAGATTGTTGGATTCACTCAGTCTATTAATGAGACAAAACACAGTTTGTGAATCCAAACAATCAATGTCGAGTTCTCAAATGAGAACGAACAAAATATACAACAACGGAACCAACATATAAGCTAACAGGAATCACACAAATTCAGCTTCATGTCGCACAATTTTGACCAACCTTCATCTTTTGAAACTCTGTGTTACGAGTTTGTCCGTAAGTTGACGACTTCGTGCAATAACACAGTGGTAATGACATATCAACACCATAAGTTGGGAATGCATGCATTTTACTACCCAGAAATGGACATTTCACAGTCGGAAAAATGAAATTACAATGCTTATTATATAACTCTGTGGAAAGATGTTTATGTTGGTTTCGTTGTAGGTTAAAACCGAGAAAATTGTCTGATGTAGAAGAGTCGGTGGTGTCTTTGATTTCCAATTCTGATGGGTATATACTTTACCTGTGTTGTTGTGAATTCAATTAGTGTTTATCATCAAATGCAATATGGAATTCTAACAGCAAGAAGCATCTTCTTGATGTAGTCTTCTTGATGTGTAACTCACTCACTCGACCTTAATGCAACCAATAATAAGATGGACAAAATGAATTTCCTATTTCGGCAAATTCGGATAGCTAATCTCAAAGAGCTATATTGAAATGCCAATTATCAACGAAAAATATACTGGATATGTGTCGCGTGTTACTTTTCTCCGGATCTTCAAAGTTGCTATCAACAACAATATGCACTACAACATCCCTATCTTCCAATACAATTTTGGCCGACATGTGTTTCGACTTCAAGGCCTATGATCCAAGTTCAATGTGATAACATATATTTCCTCACCTCTACAGTTAGTGCAAGCGTGCGCTAAAACCAAAAATTTGAACAAAAATCAAATTAGACCAAAACCGTTTAGTGTTTATGCTTTCAATAATGAATTTTCGATTGAAATGTAAATTTCATTATCAATGTCTGTAAGTACATGCTCAACACATTATTCCTACGCAAAATTGTCATTGGGTGGAACGTTCGCCCTCAGTTGTTACTGACATAATTATTTGATTCTTGATTTATTTCAACAGAATTCATACATAAAATAACTGTGGCGAGTGTACATTGATAGAATTACTCATATACATTGGACAATAACAGTTCAAAACTTATTATTACCTCAGAATGAATTCAGCCGATGAGTTACATGTAGTACTAGTACATAGAGTCCTACTCGATAGTGCTGGGGACATGGTAGGTATTCATGATTATGAAAGGACACACATTAAGCACCATTCCCGTCACTGTTGCCATTAGAGATGTATTTTAGGTCGACTGAGGTTGTTAACTGAAATAGGTGTACAGTCTTGGTAATGCGCCATAGGTCTTTTCCTCTTGGTAGATGTCTGTGGGGTTAAGAAACCCTACCTGGACATGTTTAAGATTCATATGCAACTTAGTGGAATCGGGTAGAATAGGTTGAACAGAATCAGGATAGGTCGAAAATGAAAGGTCAGCGTAATGATTCATATCCTGTCATGTCATCAACAACACCGGTACATTTACACTAAAATCAATATAATCAATATGATAATTGGTTTATTATGACCATATACGGACTTAAAGCATGAAATATATCTTTTATTAATCAAATCAATTACATCACTGTGGGTCACCAAATCAACGTACCGTCGTAATTCTGACATTCAATCAGCTAATTGAATCCTACCTGACATTAAATTTTTCAAGTCTTATTATTTCTCATAGGAATATTTTATTTGCCCTGTGTAAACTAAACAATGTTTTCAATAAGTGTGCTCACCAAGCATATCTATTTTCAGCTCATGCATGATAAAGAAAAAAAAATTCTCGTTATTATTTAATAAGGGCGGCTAATACAATATCTGGTAAATATATCAGTTTTTCACTTGAAACAATCGATGGCTGTCTCGGGTAAGTTGATAAATAATTAATCTGTCATATCAATGTATTCGTTAGGCAGAATCCGTTCGATAAATAAAAAAGGATGTAAATAAATCATGATGAAGATATATAAGCCGTCCAATCAATACCTAGATCCACCCGATAGTCGGTTCTCATTATAGTGACATATCAACTTTTGTTCCGGAATGTTGTATTGTAGATACTAATTCGGCTTTCACATATGTCAATAACAGCAAAGGAAATAAGTTTCGATTTTTTTTATAGATCATGATAAAAAATGAGTTATATTTCAATTGTTTGTCAGGATCAAAACATTTTACAATAGTTTTTATTGTCAGTCAATATATGTGTACCAAATTATACAGAACACACAGATAATTAAATAGGAAATCAGGAATCAGTTTCGCGTGAAAACAAATGTGATATTTCAGAAACTACAGTGATTATCGAGGCAGAGTAAAATCTCTTCCCCATTCTTTGTATTACATATAAAAATGTAAACACGTAACGATAGAAGTAGGGTCACCCTCTCAGGGGCGAACGCCCAAATAAAGGTCAGCAATGAAGCTTTGTTAGTGAATACAATGTGCATCAGGAAGAGAGAAAACTTTCAGATATCATACTGAAATAAATACCAGCATGTAAACGATTTCAAATTCAAAAGAAATGTTAACAGAGAGACCTTTAAAATAAAAAATAACAACAGTCGATCCAGAAGGGATAGTATATTCAATCACCATGTAATCGTAGTCGATCCAGAAGGGATAGTATATTCAATCACCATGTAATCGTAGTCGATCCAGAAGGGATAGTATATTCAATCACCATGTAATCGTAGTCGATCAAAGTAAGTTATATTGCGTTTCCAAATAAGTATATGATAAATTGCGAATTGTAAATACCATAGGTAAGAGAAGCAGGAGGGTGGCTACCTAAAAATGGAAAATTGATAACTCGCGAACTCCCCAAGTTGCATTTTCTGACCTTATTTTAAGCTAGCAGGTATAATTCTTACATCAGGCCAGTGACGTCTGTGTCTGTTCGCTGTTCACCATATCATATACGTCAAACGAAACAAATCAACCATGTTTATAATGCCATCCATATATAACTTCCCATATTATATCTTAAGTGGCAGGGGTGACATATTTCAATGATTAACACGCTGAACTAAAATATGTGTATCAACGCAAACCATCCGAGACTATCTGTTTTTTGTCTATGGCACTTGCACACGTATTATGATTCATAGTTTAAAGGCACACTAGGGTCGGGGCAATAATGTCGGGACGGAAGTAATTATTTATTAGTATTCTCGATATCATGGGTAAAATGGAAGTTTTTAACTGAACACACAAGGCCTTTTTATCATTCGATAGATACACCTGTCGCAGGAAGACACGTACTTTTAGATCCATTAAATGTTAAAATTTTAAACTTGGTCTCGGAAAATGCTAATGGTTCCCTCAATCCCTGGTTGTACATTGCCTATCCTTTCACCATGCCCTATTCAAAACGCCATAGTTTTTTTTTTTATTACGAGAGCTTTATTTTTCTTTGAAAAGTGAACGGCGGTACAATCATATGGTTGGGAACATACCTGAAGTGTATTCGTAAAAACATACGTCCAATTCAAAGAAGAAATATACGGGGACGAAATCACAAAAATGATCGAGTTTCTAGTTGTCAACATTTTCGTTGAGTTTGGTGGTAAGATCTTCCAACAGACTATTGGTATACCTATGGGAACTAACGGACCCTCTGTTGACTGAATTGATTTTGGTTCCATACGAGACGAGGCTGAAATTATCAAAGAGCTTATCAAAAACGTCATAAAGACTTTGCACTTTCAGACACATTGATGACGTCTTGTATTTAAATTACCAGATATTTATTGACCACGTCCATCGTATACACCTGCATAATTGGATATCAAGGACACGGCAATCATTTCTACATCAGCCTCCTATCTCAATCTTTTTCTACAATGAAACCAACATGAACACCATTCTGCAAAGCTTTGTGATGATTTCAATTTCCCTTTGGTAGTTTTTCCTTTTCTGCATAGCGACCTTCCTGCATCCTAAATATATGCCTTGGTTCGGTATTCAAGAGCTTGTTCCCATAATCACGATATTTATACAACGAGTCGTCATTGGACGCAGGGTTTCAAACGATAAAGGTTGATTAAAATTATGGAGAAGTTTTCTAAAATTCCCAAAATAGCACTTCTTCATGCGATATAAATCTCGACGTGTTTGATGTTCGTTAGCCTGATGGTTTCTTTGCTGTATACCTTATAACTTTGAGACCACATGGCTGGTGACGTCGATGACTCAACGACGCTGACCTTTCGCTCTTATTCTCCTCGCACCCTTTCAGGTGTCAAAGTGTAAATCTTTCCTTTGATCATAATTTGTACTAGTTCGCTTGAATCTGAGTGTATATTTTGATTTTGTTGACAAGGTTAATATTTCTTTCTTGCTTTATGAACATGCATTAGGACAGAATATCCAAATTGCCGACGGTTAGCCAATCTAGATCTTGAAAACAATAGTTTATCACTATTTCATGACAAGCCCTGCATGGATGATTCTCAGATCTAATGCACAAATCACCCTTGGTACCTAATTATCCATGGTCGATTTTTAGTTTGATTTGGCAATATAATGGGTAACAGGCGGCTACCATAGATATATTTTACCTGTTATAGTTCATAATTGTTATTTCCTCAGAAGTTCAATGAGGTTCATGTAGTTACCTACGCGAACGTTGATATAGATAAAATGACTGACGGACGGCAATCTTTGATTTCGGCATTTACATTATGTTATAGCATTTTCTTGAAAAAAAAAACTAGATTGTTCGCTATTGACCTTTTTGAGCGTTGCTTTTTTTGGTACTGACTGATTTTCTATTTTGTCAATAGAATTTGTTGGTGTATGGAAGATTACATAGTGGTGGGCTCGAATATTCCTTTATCACATTATTTGAGTAGACTAAGGATAAAAACAAATGAATAAAGAGTGACATGATATGCCATCATTCGTTCGTTTACCAGTCAGTTTCTCTGTATGCTTACATGAATTCCACGATAAGGCAAACTTTATTCATATTCATTTATTCCATTTAAACACAAGGCGATACATGTATCAATAATATATTTATTTTTGTCATTCTTTTGCGGAAACCCTGCCGTTTTCTTAACATTACAATTATTTATTTCATTTTTGTTCATTTGCGTATCAACACCGTTGGTAGCCTAGCTAAAATATCTTTCTCCCCATTTGTCATTTCATCTTACGATTTCAGTTTTTATTAACATTAAAATCGTAGATATAGACAATAATATGCACCTTCCTAAAATAAAAGAACATTACATAGTTCATTACAGTAACTTTCAACAAAATCCAAGGAAAGTTATTCATGGACTTTTCCAGGATGATTTGGACAAGTTATTCATGAAATGTCTATGGACCCCATCCTTGAAATGTCCTGCCTTTTTCCATGGAAAAAGTTGTCCAAATTATCAATGAAGTGTCCTGGACATCGTCCATGACCGATGTCCATGAAATGTCCTGCCTTTTTATGGAACATGTGTCCAAATTGTTAAAAAATAAATGTCATTTACAAGTTTAATTATTACTTACATTGAAGCAGCAACAGCAGTTTCCAAAACATGATGAATTCGTACTTAATTTCGGACGTTGAGGTTCGTGTATATCTAAAGAATAAATTAATGTCGGTTCATATACCACATTACCGTCCTAGCTGAATGCTTCCACCCGTGTATGTGGTGTAAACATGATCTATATGTATAGCGTATCTGGGACTGTGTAATACACATCCC